ATTTCCTTCTCCTTCACATGTCTGGACATGGTTCCCAGGATTAGTTGCTCCATCAGCTTTCTAGGGATCAAGGTCAAGCTGACCAGCCTCCAGTTCCCTGGGTTGTCCTTCTTGTCCTTTCTGAAGACAGGAGTGACATTTGCTTTCCTCCAGTCCTGAGGGACCTCTCCCAACCGCCACGGTCACTCAGCGAGTATTGTGAGTGGCCTCACAATGTCATCAAGCACAGGGTTCAGGGGGAAAAGCAATGCTGTGCTTTCTCCTGTCACTGGAAAACCAGCAGCAGTTGGGAAGACTGACTTCTTGGTGCCATGAATATCCACAGAGGTTTTCCACTGAGCTGCGAAGGTGACAAAGACCAGTCACTGCTAAGGGCTCCAGTGTCAGAATTGAAGCTATTGGCTGATTCCTGACGATATACATAGCCTGAGGCAGCACCAGCCCTGTTAGCACCAAAGTTGTAACTTTTCAGTGTGATATCAAGGCATCTGTGACGTGGGGAGGACAGGGGGTTAGTGGAGCGGATGTTGTTTTGTAGCAGTTATTAGAGTCTTCTCCCTCCCCCGGGGCAATACCTGGCGTACAGAGGTCCCTTTACGTAACAGCAGTCATGGTGATGAGAGTCCTCTCTGTCTAGGAAAGAGGTAACATCCCCAAGCATGGGATTGATTGCCTCGTTACTTTTTGTCTAAAGCAGGAGGCAAAAGGGATTCCTCCACTGGTGATGCCCATTCCTGTCCTGTCACTAGCAGTGCAGTAGAAGCACTTGGCAAGCAGAGACTGGCACTTAGCTCTCTGGGGTGGGGCAGTTTGTTGGAATGCAGAGGATGATACAACTGTGTCACAGAGAAATGCGTGGGCTGCAAACTTGTGGTCTTCCATGTCCCTTCTCAGCCCGGTTTTGCCGAGGCTGTGCTGTGAGTGCTGTGCTTTGGGAGGTGTGCTCACAGCCTTTTGGTGCTTGCAGCAAACAAAGACACGGAGCAGGCCTCCACCCCCTGGTGTGAGTCTTCTCCAGATGATTTCCGCTATGGAAGCCTAATGTATCCTGATCATCGGGAGCGGGAGAAAGACCAGCATGAGAAAAACAAAAGGTAGGTTGTCATATGCCTCACAGGATCTCCTCCTGCATTCAGAGATGTGTTATGTTGTGCCCAAGTCAGCTGGAGCTCCATAGCCAGGTCTGTGGTGCTGTGCAGTACCACACCTGTCCCTAGACCTTGTCATTCATGTAGTCATGTGGAGAAGCTTCACCCTGCAGATCAGTGCTGCTGGCACTGCACATGATACATCCCTAAGTGGCCGTGGTGGGGGCCCTGCAGGGCAGCCCACCCACAGAGTCTGCAGCCTGGAGCGTAGAACAAGTGGAGGCCAAGAGTAGTTAGTGTTCAGCAATGTTTCAGCAACACATGGGAAGTCATCTGCTGCATTTCTAGCAACAGACATGTGCAACATGCTGGTTGCACAGACATCACCTGAAAGAGGATTGCAACCAGCATCTCTGAGAGTCAGTGAGGGGGATTATAAGCCTATTTGTTCCTCTAGGCTGCTGGATCCTGCCAACACTCAGCAATTTGATGACTTTAAGAAGTGCTATGGAGAAATCCTTTATCGCTGGGGCCTGCGAGAGAAGCGGGCTGAGGTTCTGAAGTTTGTCTCGTGTCCTCCTGATCCCCACAAAGGAATTGGTGAGTGTCTGCTCTGGTTGCTCAGGCAGAGTCATGGGCTCTGCCTCGGGAGCTCGGGGACGTGCAGCCTGCCTGAGTGCATGGACAAAGTTTATCTGAGAGACCCACCCACAGGAGTCACAAGGGTTTAAAATGATTATATAGGTGTAATTGAACCTTGATATAAATTGTTCCAGAGGATTAATGAGGGCAAACCAAATGTTCAATATGAATAAAATATGAAGGGTTTATTTAAATTGATGATAATAATGATGATGATTAGAGTAAAAAGGCTTTAATCAGAGTTATTTACTACAAGGTATAGAAACTCAAAACTACTAATGCAGTGCACTGGTTATTAAATCAATAATATCTAAGCTAGCTTAATGACAACCATGTAGATACTGATGTTACTCACCCATAGCAGTGACTATGGGCAAATCTCACTCAGCCTTGAGGAGTGACCTTGAGGGGTGTCCCCACCCAAGGGAAGGATCTTCACACACGCCTAAGGGAGGTGTGTCAGAGATTCCCACCATTTAAAAGTGGCACTGGTCTTCTGTATTATGAAGTGACCGACTGTCAGTCACACAATTTTAGGTTAAATGTTGTCCTGCCTGCTGAGCAGAACATGCTTTATTTTTGAGTAAGATGCTATCAGCTCTTTGATTTCTTCTGTAAACATCTGCCTCTCCCTTCCCCACCAGAGCTTTCACATTCTTGGTGATGACAGCCTTGGTGAGGAAGCATTTGTCTTGCCTATCTGCATGGTGGGTCTAATTTGGGATAGTTTGATTAAACTGGTTTAAGCATCCTTCAGCACTAAAACCAGCAGGACCCCCCTGCTCAATCCATCACTGCTAACTTGTAAGTGAGGCAAGCTATCAGTGATGTCCAGGCTGTTTTACTCCCACTTAGGCAGAGCATCCTGCTGCACGGATGACAAGTGTCCACCCATCACTGAAATGTCACTGAAAATGTGGCATTTAACCTCTGACAGAGGTTAGCTCTGCAAATAAATGGGTTTGGCTTCTTCACAGCTCTGGGTGATGAGGCTTGCAGGTGTTGATTCAAGGGCCCTGTAGACTATATCATCTCTCCAGCAAAGCTGAAAACACACATACTGCCACACCAGCAGTGCTTAGCTCTGTGCTGATGGATGTCATTAATCCCCTCTAAAATAAAAGGCCAGACACGCCCTGTCCTGGTCTCTGATTCTGGGCTGAAGTGTCCTTATGTGTAAAATTGCAAGATCTCTAACTGGGTGAACTAGCCAAGAAATAGGCACATAGAATTTTTCTCTCAAGATATTTTCAGCAGTGTAGATTCCAAGCTTAAGGACAGCTGCCAAAATGTCTTATTTCCAGGCCTGTGGGAACAGATGCCCTTAACCTAGGGGGAGAGAAGCAGGTGAGAGATGCCAAAGAAGCAGTGGTTGTCTCACCTTGTCACCTGGGACTCCTTCTGGAGAGTAAGTGGAGTGAAAATTGGTGACTTGAACCACTGCCATGACCCCTCCATGGTTGACAGAAGGGCACTGATACAGCAGGTGCTGGGTGCACTCTGGACTCTCCATGTGATGAGAAATGGAGACTGTTCTCGTTTGCTTAGTGACACTTTTTAGTGATGAGAGGTGGATGAGACCAGTGGGAAACCTTCATCTCCGCAGCACGTGTCAGTGTCTCCCAAGCTAGAAATCCAACACAATTTCCCAGCAGACAGCTGTAGCCATCAAGGGAATTGGTAGGCCAGTCCATGCCCTGGCACTCTGATTGCCTGTTCCTTTGGTCTCATATGGAGACCAAACCAAGACCTCTGAACACCAGCCATTCTGCCTTCCTGAAGGAGCTTTGAGGCAGATCTCACGGGCAGTGGGTTTAGAGGACTCATCTGCTGAACAGGGGCTGTATGCACTGACTCTCCTGCTCTCTGTTTCTTCCCCCCTGGCAGAGTTCGGCGTGTACTGCAGCCACTGCCGCAGCGAGGTGCGCGGCACCCAGTGTGCCATCTGCAAGGGCTTCACCTTCCAGTGTGCCATCTGCCACGTGGCCGTGCGAGGCTCCTCCAATTTCTGCCTGACGTGCGGACACGGAGGCCACACCAGCCATATGATGGAGTGGTTTCGCACGCAGGAGGTGTGCCCCACGGGCTGTGGGTGCCACTGCCTGCTCGAGAGCACCTTCTGAGCACTGGGGCCAGCAGGGTGCCAGGGAACTGGATTGGGTATTTCATTCCTAAGCCATGTTGAGTCAGCTCTGCTCCACAGTGTCTGGAGGAGATCGCCGCAAGGAGCTGAGGCAGGACGTCCTGGCAATGTGCTGTGGTGATGTTTACAAGTGCTTCCAGTATTACTACACTTCCCAGGTTGCTTTCAGACCGATATGACCAAATTCCCTGTGTCCATTGCTGGCAATGGATGCCAGACCAGAAAAATTGCTCTCTCCTGCAGAAGAGTGTGTGAATATTGGCTGGTTTGGGATGAGGAGGTGTTTGAAAGCTCACCTGGAAAGGGTTCACCTGGCAGAGCTGAACTTGCTGCAGTCATGTAGAGTCTTTCCAGGTGCCTCCTTACAGGGGCTCAAAGCAAACAAAACAGTTGTTTTACACAGTTAAGGCAGAAATAATTCTCAAGCAACTGAGCTCTAACGGTGAGCTGTAAACGGCGCTTGGAGAGCAAATAGTCATGGAACTGCGCTCAAAGTTTCTTTTGGAAGCAGCAGGGTCCTTATTTTGATGGCTGTTGACATCGTTTAGGTTTCCCTGTAAAGCAAGAGAAGAAAATGGCATTTACCAGGATTACTTCCTAAATAGCTTCCTGCTTACTGGTACCTGTGACTGGTACCTGTGACTGGTGCGAAAAGCCCAGCCCAGTGCTCAAGGTTCCTGGGATTGCTTCCAGCAGTTTTGGCTTTAAGGTGTCTCCATCTCATGCTCTGACCAAGTGATACAATGCACTTTAACCCGTCCCTGCCTTGCTGGTGACACTTCCTGGTGACTGGGAAAGGCATCTGCATTTTGAGTTTGGGGTCCACACTGTCTTTTCATAGATAGTGGTGTTGTGGAAAGCCTTTGCTTCCTCACTGACAAAACACAAGGACACTTGATCATGCAACTTCTTTTGGCTGTTGTTTGCAAGCTCTACAGGGAAAATTATGGATAATTTAAGATTTGCTGCTGCTGTGCTTGAGTGACAAGGCTCCTGAGCCAGGGAGGCAGCCGTTTCTAGGGAGAAAGGGGGTTTGGAAGGGTGGTGGGGTACATGGAGGGAAGAGGTTTATGCCTTTTCCTCCTGTGCAGATTCAATTGGAGAATGTACCAGATGGATCTGTCTGTATGGGGCTGTGCCTGCTGAGCATTCCAGCCCAGGGGTGCTGCTGTGTGGTGTGTGCACACCTGGAGTGCACAACCTGTGCCTCTCCTGGGCTGACTTCAGCCTAAACTTTGGATTTGGGCCAATGTGTGGTCAGGGATGAGCCTGCTGGAGCTACCCCCACCTGTGCCAGCACTGATCCCTTCCTCCCGCGCTTGCCTGCTGAGCGGGGCCACATGCCATGCCTGCTCCCAACCCCTGTGCTAGCTCAGGCTGTGGGATTGTGCTGTGGAATAAACAGATGTTGTATCTTACACAATTAAAACATTAAAGTTATTTTTTTAAGTGCTCTTCTCATAAGAACTTGGTGTTGCTCTGCTGGTTCTCCCTCCATGGGGAGCCCCCAGCAGCTCTCCCTCCCAGCGTGGTGGTGTGTGTTGCACCCATGGTCTTCTCCCGGAGCCCCAGAGCAGGGGGCTCAGATTCACCAGTGCCCTGCAGTAGCTGGGAGACTCACCAGCTGCTGGTCCCCCGGCCCTGGCTGGGAAGATGTACTGGCACATCACAACAGACTGGGAGCTGCCCCTGGTTGTGAGGCTCCTCTTGGCAAAGCAAAGCCGGGCAGTGTCTGAGCTGCCAGCAAACCAAACCCCACATCCTGCAGTTCGGGGAGGCCCCGGGCAGCGTTTGCCCCGCGGTGGGTGAGCTGAGGTCCTGCCTCGGGCCAGAGTGCTCTCTGCAGGGAGAGAGCTCCCATCCTCCACCGTCCTCTGCCTTCCTACGTGACAGCTCGGAAGTATTTTCATTTCCATGCTTGAGTGCTCCTGAAGTTTGGAAGAGAAAGGAGACTTGTTATTTAAAGGTGATGGACCGGCAAATCATGTTAGTTGTGTGTGCTATTACAGCTCATTACAGTCTATCTCCATAGCATGTGGGTACCCCCGAGGCGGAGCGTGGCCGGCACTTCAGAGGGAGGAGGAAAAGCCCTTGCTGTGGCTGTTTGTGCAGCCCTGCACAGGTAGGTGGAATTTCTTCCCGGATGCTGCAGGCATTTCTCTCACACCCTGGAGCATGTCTGCTGGTTGCTTTGTGAGCAGTCTCACTTGATGCAGGAGTGGCTATTTCAAGGAAACAGGAATGGTTTATTCCCACCTGCCTGGAGCCTGGCATGGAGAGAAATGTTGTTGTCTTTGCTGCATTCACCAGCAGTAAGTGGTTAGAAATGGGGTGTGCTGGTGCCCCACACCAGCCCCTTCTGCACTGCTCCCAGACTGCTTGTCCCCTCACCCAAAGTTTTTGAAAGTGCAAAAAGTTCTCCAGTCTGGCCAAATCTCAGGCTGAATTTCAGGCTTTAGAGAAGGGAGAGGAGGCAGGCACTGCTCAGGCAGCAAGTCTTGGCACTGAGCATGCCAGCATGTGCCAAACCAGCTCTGGGGATGCTGCTGTGGTCAGACCAGGTGAATCTAACAGAGCCTCCAGCTCTGTTGTGATGGACAGTGCTGAGGATTGTGGTCAGTGGTGCTGCAGGGTCAGGAGTGACCCACCCATGGTTTCTGCTGGTGCAGGAGTGAGGGGCCATGGGATTAAACTGCCCACCTGGCACGAGGCAGGAGCAAGCTCTTCACATGCCACATGGGAAAGGTGTCAAGCCACTTCCCTCAGGGTTAACACCGGTGCCATGGATTTGCCAGGGCTCCAGGAGTGACTGGGCACCGCCAGGGAGAGGAGCTCCATGCAAGGCCACCCCCATCTGCACAGCCCTGCCTTTGTGTCGCCAGCCAGCAGCACTGCAGCGATGCCCACGCACCACACACCTGCTCTGGTACCTTTCCAGGGCCAGTGCAGAGGAGGAGGCCAGACACAGGGGACCTTGGGTCTGACCCCAAGCAGCTGTTTGCCAAGACTTGCTTTAGCTGCCTGCCAAGTGCATCCCAAGAGTTGTTACCAGTGTATCCATTCTGGCTTTCCCAAGGACTGAGCTGAAGAGAGAGAAAGATCCCATGACAGCCCACACTGCCCTCAAGGGCACTGTCAGCTTTTTTTAACCCTTTTTGTTCACCTGCTAGGGGTGTAACAAGCATGATGTGCCTCCCCTGTCCCCACTGAGGCTTTCCACGTGCAGAGAAGGAAGTTTTAAGAGTTTGGCAGAGAAATAAAGAGTGATAATATCAGAGGGAAAACCTTTCACCATGGATGCAGCACCCTGCAGTATCTGTAGTATCCTCCTCCTCCTCCTTGGCAGCCACAGCCCCATTATCCCAGCATCAGTCCCTCCAGCACTGCAGGG